CTGGCAATAAACTTATTTATGGCAGTAAAAGGTGTATTTGTACGTGACGGAAGTTATTGCGTGAAATGTGTGGAATTTTTTTTTATCCGATATATTATATCGTCTAAAGCGTTAAGGGATATATATAGTCTTTGTGTGGAGAAATCTCGCACCTATGCTATCATGGAAACTGTGGCAAAAGCCTGATGCTACATACGGGAAGCGAGTAGGTTTGGCACAGTAGCAAGGTACTAAGTTAGTGACTGGTTTGCACCGAGGTCGAATCATAGGATTCCAAAAGGACAATCAATAGGATTGACAGATAAACCCGGACCAAATGGGGTACCGAGCTATGGTGCAAATGAGAGAGAGGGTGGTGAGGGCGGGAAAAAGCAAAAAATGCTGACGGTCTTGACCGAGCAGCTAAGCTCCTTCTATCGTCTCCATCATCCCACAAGCTCCCATTGCGAACAATGTCTTCTCCAAATCTTCCGCCCTCTTTGTCGACACTCTTCGCTCCGTCTGCCAACCGTGTACTTCACTGAAGCGACGCGCCGCAATCGACACGACGGAAATTGAGACTAAGGAAGAGCTAGAAACGCCCATACGTCTCCCGTCTTGCCGATCAAAAATACGGCGATTTTCAAATATTCATCACCTATTTTATGGAATGCTGTCGGTTTCTTCAATAACAGATGTGACCATCCAGTGAGCGAAGACAAATACCTTGTTCTGAATAAGACTTCTTGGTCGAATGTACGCCATTGCCTATCTGTTCGTAGACGTGGTTTGGGTCCATGTTTTTGGTGATGTCTCCAGGCACTGTCCTTGATAAGTTTCTTGAGCTCTTTTTTCCCATTGCTGGTTCTCCAATCCTTCAACTACTATTGTCCAGCATTATCAGTCGCTCCAGTGTTCATTGTAGGCTATCGACAGTGAAGAGTGCGCTTGTTGATAGTATTGGATTGTCCAAAACCGATGTCAATGGGATAAAATAATAATTCACAATTTGAAAAGTAAGTTTTGAAAGCAGGGATAGCATTCGGGGAGTCTCAATTACTGTAGTCTCCCAAAAGTTCCGTAAAAAATTCTCTAAAAGTTCCCTAGATAAAACAGTTTTCAGTTTTACCGTGTCATCATTAATTAGCGCGCGTTTCACAACCTATAGTCGGGTTTGGCGGTTTCGGTTTCGCTAAATGCCCGAATTTGCCACAAGGTCCTGAAAGTAAGCCCATCGTGCGAGCAAGCCCGATTTTCGTTGGTTGATGAACGATCGGCGGTGGACGAAGTCCGTGGATGACTGCTGGCGCAAGGTGTGCCGGCGATTTACTTGTAGCTCCACTCGGCTGGATAATTTTGATTATCTCCCTTTTACAACACTGTAACTACTTGTATTCAAGCCCCGTTATCGCTCTGTTATCGTTCAATAACGGGCACATTAACTCAGTAGCTCCACTCGGCTGGACTCTGAGTTTGTCGTTTTAACGACAAACTCAGAATACGATTTCCCCTCATTCATCAATACCATGGGCAACATGAAAGGCTTTTCTGTTTGTGGACTTGTGCTTTTATTTTCACTTGCAATTACCAACGGGTTTCGCGAAGCCCAGTTGACCCATAGGAAATTCTCATTACACCAGCTAAGGAGCCACAGGAAACAACGAGAAGAACTTGTGAAACAACGAGGAGAGCTTGTGAATATACTGGAAACGATTGATGAATTGAAGAACGACTTGAACGGAATTGATTCGGAAATCGACTTATCCAAATCGCGTATTGCAATCAATCATTTCGGGGACGAAGTGGTCACAGCTCTAGCAGCTTTGGTTCCGCCAATTGGTTTGTCCACGGAAGAATATGTCGAAGCCATGCGGTTTTATCTGCATCTGCCCCCATCAGTGCGTAATGGGCTTGTAGAACGATTGAATTTGGAAGGAGAAACAGCCGGAGATTATCAAATGATACCGGACATTATAGCTAGCTTGTATGAGGAGCATACCAGTCCTTCACTATCGTTGCCAGGCTCTTTGAGCAACAAAACGGCCATTCAAAAGATCGCAACAGGTGGAAATTTGGATGAAATACTTCAAGACAGCACCCCAGTGGTTGAATCTACATTTAGGGCTTTGTTTGGATACCTCTCAAGACATACAAAGAAGTCTCCGACGTCTGAAGAAATAGCGTCTCTGATGAAAATACTGAAAGACGAAAAGAAAATTTCAAATGGAAACCCAATCAAAGTTCCGGGCGCATATGTCATCTCTGGAATAGAGAGAAAAGTAAATGCCGAAAGTCTACTCAACTGTATAGATGCGAGCGTCCCCGAGGATTGGGATTGTTCTGTGAGTCTAATATACAACGTTCTTGACAATGAGCTAGAGCCATTTGAGAAACCTGGGTGTGCGCTGGTGGTGTTCAAGAACGACTTCTCAACTGAAAATGCATGGCTCTATTATATGTGCACCTTGTCAGCGCTCGCAACTAGCTTGCTATTTTCGTGCAGCATTTTTGGAGAAAACCTAGTCTTTGACGTCTCCTCAATAGACGACACTCTCGTTTCGATGGAGAAAATCAGCCAATTTCTCCTTCCGCTTTTTTTCATTCTACTCTCGCAGGAGTCTGGGCATATCTACATGGCGAAAAACTTCAACACAAGATTCATGTTTCCGGCGCTGCTGCCTTTCCCGCAGGGTCTCCCGCTGCTTGGTAGCCTCACAAGAATCACTTCCTCACCAAGCAATTTGACGTCTCTTTTTGACTTCGCAGTTTTTGGACCGTTACTTGGATTATTTTTTTCTTTGAGTTTCATGGTATCTGGAATCCTTTTGACTTCTCACGTTGATGGCCAAGTGTTCGGCATTGACGCATTACCATCTCTTTCAGTTGGTGTGCTGAAATTAAGCACGTTCGGTGGCAGTTTTGTTGATTATGTTAACGGTGGAAGAGGCTTCATAACTGCACAGGAGAACGATGCCACTGTACCATTGCATCCCCGTAAGTCTACTGAGCTGAAATTGAGCTGAATGCAATCGTTGACTCGGCTGCTAATTGAATTTAAGTCTTTATCGCTGGGTACTGCGGGATGATAATCTCAGCTGTATCGCTACTTCCTGTCGGTGCGACTGATGGTGGGCGGCTGTCTCTCGCTATCTTTGGCCGACAGGGACATGCACTCGTCAGTGGGGTTACTTGGCTTGCCCTTCTTGGAGCTTCGCTTACGTTAAATGATGATCAAGGGCGCGTACTAACAGCTGCATTGGTGGTAAACAGCCTCGTTCAAAACGACATGGAGATTCCGTGCCGGATTGAAACCGATGAAGTGGACACAAAAAGGCTTGCGCTTTGTTTTACGCTTTGGTTCCTAGCAGCTTTGATTCTAGTACCGATGTGAGGCTTGCTTTCTATGAACACGATGATAGCGCTTCTGACTACTTAAAGCTGTGTCTGCACACATACCTACAACAGTCTCAATCATTCGCTATTCTCCCCACATGAATCGTCTATTGAATTGGAACCAGAGACAAAAAGGATAAGGAATAGGCAGCTACCGCTACTGCCACCCGCCAACTTCGTATTTCTAGTGTTTCGTCCCGGCAGGCGATTTCGTTTCCACTTTGAAACGCGATGACAAAGGAGAAGTAAAATAAGAATAGATCTGATCCTAGCAACCCGGTAAAAAGGAGCGAAGTCATGAAAATATTGCCGATCACAAGCTTCGAGGGCCGTCCAAACCATGCCATTGCAATCCTTCCACCATCCGTCGCTTTAAAAGAGATTTGCATATGAGTAAAATTTTCAAACGAGCGAATCCAAAGTCACCGAGTCGACTTACTTCCGATCGGTAGCAGACTCAACGCGTTCACTACAAGGCTCATATAACCTGCAACTGCCTACACAACAGAGGAGCTCTTTCAGTTACAATTGGTGCACAAAATCAGAAAACAGCGTCAGGACTTACAATGGGGTGAAGAGAAATCAGTATTCCCGTCATTGGAGCACCATCGGGAACATACAGCGATCCCTTGAGAACGTTATCAATGATTCCACCACCCACTGAACTCTGCCGAAGTATTTCGATGGGGAGGGATGGCAAGGTGGATGGATCACTCGTCGCGGTAAGCTGGGAACCGATTCCGATGGCAATGATTGAAGATACCATACCTGCCAATGGTCCTGCCACAGCAAAGTCAAACATGGCTCCTTTTGTCTTTGGGGGCTGCTTGAAGGTAGTCACAGAGCTAGTTGTTCCAGTGAGCAGCGAGGGCACAAAAGTTGGGAATGTTGTATTCATCTTCAATCAAAATAAAATATATGAGCAAGAAATTGCAAACTGACTCAACTGGCCAAAAAACTTACTCCGTATTTTGTAGCGACCAAGGAATGAGCCACTTCGTGTACCACTTGAATCCCCACAAACGAAAGAAAGAGTGGCGCTGACAAATCTGTCAGCCAATCCAAGTCATATGACATGCTCGCATCTGCTAGTGCCAACTGCTCTTCGACTCGATGTGCAACCAACGGATTGAGCAAGAAAGGATATACTGACAGATACCAAGATGTTGCTAGACCAAGAGCTGAAGTTATTGCAAGCGGCACCCGCTTACGATCAACGCAAAATTCAGGTGCTGTCACATACAGTATTGGAGCGGGTTGTTCTCCAGCAAACAAATCGAAATCTCCATCGTTCTCTTCACTTCGAGAGAAAACTGTGAAGTCGGGAGAATAAAGAACTGTCATCTTGTCTCCCAAGTTTTCCTTTGCAAGCTCAGCATCGATTGCATCGATGAGGTCCTCGCCAGTATCCCACTTATGATGCCCTCTGATCACGTAGCCCCCGTGAACCTTTTCGGCCTTTGAAGTGCTTAAAAACTTCGCATTGGGGAGAACATTGACAATCAACGACCGTACTTGGAGCATCGTCGGCTCTATCATATCTTCACGGCGCATGCATTTCGGGTAGAGGGAGTCGATCGACCTATCCAGCGATGTTTGTTTAGTCGAATCGAGCGAAAAAAGATCATCTCGTTTTGGCCCATCTGGAATGAGATTCACATCATTGTTCGTGCTTGATTTAATATAGTCATCCAATTCCAGAGAGAAAAGTGCCAGTTGTGTTAGGTTCCTGCCGACAATATCAAGAATTTGCTTTGGGTAAGGGTCATTTTCAATATCATGCTCGATTTTTCTTATTTTTTCATCAATATCATCTTGTGTATATGACAGATTTCGTTTGCTCAAAGAACTGCTGTCTCGACGAGACTTGACAGAGTTCAGCTGCAGTGCAATTTGTGAAGTATTCATGCTCCCATCATTTTCCATAATATCTGAAATAACGGTTTTCATGAATTCGGGTGACTCCTGAACAAGTGCAAGAGATTCATCAAATCCAATATCGAGGGATTTGTCTTTCGCCAATGATGCAGCACTTGAGACAGGTTCTTGAACCGTCGCTTTGCATTGGGCATCGATAACCTCTGTGGAAGTTTGCCCATCTTTAATGCCTCGGAGCTTTGCCTGTACATTATGGAGTTGCGATTGCATATCATCGACTGATTCACCTTTGGCTTTTGCTTGCGTCAACCCTTGTTCAAGCTTTGCAATCTTTGTGAGGGTTAATTCAGCATCCATGCGTTCGGCTTCCAAACGCATTCGTTCAGCTTGAAGTTTAAGCGACCTTGCAGCGGAAAGTTCATCTGATTCGACAGTGTCTTGTACCATGTCTCTTTGTTCAATTGCTCTTACACCTCTCTTTTTCTGCCGAGTGATCCGTTCCAACAATTCCAACACTTTGTCTCTCTTCCTTCTTCGATTGCCTTCGTCCTTGTCGTTCGACATCTTCAACGCAAGATCTATCGAAAAAAGAAATTCATGATGGTTTCTTTTCCCGATCCGCTTCAGCTGTATCCCCGAGAGGGCTTCTGAACCGAAGAGGAAGAGCACAAGTCCCGAGACGATCTTACAAAACATTTTGTTTTGTGGCCACACTGAAGATTATGTTGCTCTGAGTAGACGTACTGACGTACAGACGCCTCACTACTCCGCTAGCTGGGACTCCAGCAGTCACGACTAGAAATATGCTCTAGCTCTCTTCGAATCTCATTAGCTTTCTTAGAGATTCGATGCAGTAACTCTTTCCAAGTAGTTTCAAGTAGTGATAATCTCACAAGTTATTTTTATTCGATTACTTATCAACCAACTTCGAATAAAACTACCTTTATTGATTCAAAGCCCAATCCAGAGGCATTGTGCTCTAACGTCAGGCAGACAGACGAAACAACGGTTAGTCCGCCAAATTGAGCGTTGGTGAACGTTGGCGATGCTAGCGATCGTTTACGTGCATGTTTTTGCACACAATTCAATTAATTTTCAGATTCCTTTGTCATCACCCAACATCAAAACAGTTTATCAGTTCCCACTGTCTATTGACTACCCAGTCCAGCGTGTTGAAGCTTGGGCTGCTGCCGAAGGTGTTACTTCCATGAAGTTCTTTGATAAGAAGAGAGATTTGGAGACATTTCAAGATGGCGATCAAATCGCAGGAGTGGATGACCCGGAACAAGGTTACT